GTTATTGGAGCTACCTGATCCGCTACTACCATGGGAGTCCACATCTGAAAGACCATTCTCAAGAGCTCGAACTAAATTCTCGAAGTAATTCCGTGTCACACTATTGTTATTGAGATCACAAGATTAAGTACCACAATTAAACTTCTAAATAAGTTACTTAGCAGGTCTACCTGATGAAGAATTCCAATGAGAAAATTTAGAATCTGAATACATTTCATATACACATTACCTCGTTAGTCCCGCAAGTTTTTTGCGGAATTCAATGAACTCCTCTTTTGACTGGCCTTCTGCATAGAGGAAAACTTGCAACCCCACCTCTGCACAGTGATGAAGCCGTTCTAATCCAGACTCAGCCTCACCTGCATAACATAAATAGACTGGTTCAACAGGCACATAATGTCAGACTCATAGCTTCTAGAGGGAGAAAGAGAGACATACCTTGCAGGTATTCGAAGAACTGCTTTTTTGCATGGTCATGCTCGGGTAAATAATATCCATAGGCATATGTCCATTTTAGAACTCTCCTACATTCAACAATCTACAGTAATAGAGCCACAGCAGTAAGAACATGTTATTTTTATATGAACACTAGTCTACTATGAAGACTCTGCAAGAGATTTACCTGTTGCCAGGCTTCAGTGATGAACTTCAACAGTGACAGAGGTTGTATCTGTATGTCACTGAGCTTTGCAAGCTGCATTAGCATAAATGCATTAACAATCTACAAAAGCTGCAAAGCAAAAATAGACACATACACACACACACACTCTACACATTACTTTCTCCCCCTTTTTGGATTATAATTCCCTGCCCCTGGGGACACTTCTTTTATTTGGGGAAGGAGCTAAATTGAGGAACTTCTCATCCTACCAAAATCTCAATTGACTCCAATATAATAAAATGGTTCTTATTGCAAAAATAAACATTAGCTAATTGAGGACATTTCAATGAATCTGAGTTACATTTTACAGAGGGAAAAGAATTAACATCAGCTTATTTGTAGGTTACCATAAAAAGGATCATAACCAATCTATTGCCATCTGAAAGGCATCAGAGTTATTATGGCTTTATGCCATGTTCCCATTTCAATCTATGCTATAACTTATTTGAAACAAATATGACAAGTCATTATACAAGAAATCACCATTTACAAACAAAAGTTCACTTACATGCACATTCTGCATTTGTTGTAGATCCCCCAATGCCTTTTGCCTAGACTGCAGCACCAATTGAAGAGATGTTAAAAACCATAAGCATTTCCTCTAGTAATCTAACATATTAAGCATATAGGATGGATTTTACTTTTATTCAAAAAGGATCAGAGAGAAAATCTAACAAAATAAAGCAGAGATGAACTCTAGTTTCTAAGCTTCA